AACGTATAATTTATATGGTCTGTTGAGTATCTGAGGGAAGAATGACACAAAAGAATTGCTTCCGTGATTCCAATAAAGAAATATTGTAATATTGTTCCTATTCGAAAGTTGGGATGTGATATGGATTATTAACTGCAGGAACTTGTTACAGCACAGTGATATATTGCAAAATTACATTCATTCAGGAAGACGAGAACCACAAAATGTCAGACTCTCTTGCTGTATTTGGGTTGATCATATTTCACAAAGCATAATAGGAATGTCGATCATACGCAAAAGGGCACAAATTTTCTTCCTTGTATTTCGATAAGTTTTTAGTGCAGAAAAAAGTGCTTAAACCTGTTATAAAAGTTGTATCAAACTTTTTTTTTTACTACAAACTGTCTTTGGGAAAATCAGTAAAACTTAGTATGATCTTCACTTAATGTGCAGATTACACTGGATTGATCAACTGCGTAAACTACCTTCATTCCAAGACCTGAAGAGTACCGAAAGATGGAACCTCAAACTTAGGACTGAAGATAAATGTCGTCTTGTATGTCGCGTCGTCTAATCTGGTAGAAGTTTACAGACGAAGATTTCTGTCTTCTGGCTTGTTGCGCTGTGAGGTATGTGCAGTCTTCAGGGCGATTCATCGCCCTGATGACGGAGGCAGTATGACCTCTGAAACGTTGGTTAACATCGACCAGACTACACAGCGCAACAACCCAGAAGACAGAAATCTTTATATTCACCGTTGTGAGAACCTCAAATCATACAAGTTTACATACGTTTTAGAGGAGTTTTCATCCTCCATCTGAATGCGATGATGGAGGTAGCAAGCATGTCTGAAACGTCGGTAAACTTGTACCAGTCTCTGCGGCGCAATAACCAAGAAGACATCTTCATATTCGCCTCCGCGAGAACCTGAAATATCAACTTAGAACACCTCATGGGGTGGTTATGGATGATAATAGAACAATGGTGGAATAATGATTTAGCATGGGAAACGAGAAGAACTCGGAGGAAAACCTTCCCCAGTGTCTCCTTTTCACATTGAGTCTCACTTAAAATTATTTGGCACTGAACCCGGGTCTCCACGATGGAAAGGCAGCAGATAACTACCTAAGCTATGTCACGGTGTATATTCAATCAGTACAAACCCTAAATTAAATTTACCTCTCTACTTTTAGCTCAGACCCCGAAGTACCAGGCTGAATGTACAATTGTCTCTGTGCTTAATTAAGTACCACGTCTGAAAGACGTACGAGGATACTGAGGTTACGCCCAGGCGTGTTCTGTTTCCACTGGATGGGAAGGCCCCGGAGGAGATACAGGCGCTACGCTGAAGACGGAATCTCTGGCTCTGTCGGGAATCGAATCCCAGTCGTCTAACCCGCCAAGTATTTTTGGAGAAGGAACATGAAAATTGAGAAAAAAAATAATTTCAAAACGCGTTCATTTTGGACACTTCATGAGAAGAAACCGTACGATTTGGTGAAAATCGGTCCATTGATCATATGTTTACAGAATAACTTTTTTAATTTTATGTGAAGTATTTTACCTCGTAGCTGAAGTACTTGTATGGTTTTGTAGGCTCTACTGCAAGTGTCACTGTTTTCGTGTGTCGGCTAACCTGATAACGCGTAGGAACTTCCTTTCTAGCTGCAAGGGTATGCCACTTATGCCAGTTACAAGCTCTTGACAATCTCTCAACATTTTTTTTATGAGACAGCAACTTCAATTAGACGTTTCATGCTATTTCGCCTACAGCACATACATTTTTTAGAATTCTTGAGAATGGAGATTTACTTCCTGTGGTATCAGATGTTACATGAGTAGGCGATTCTTGAATGTTAGGTGGAGTCTCTGGGCTGCTAAATGGAACTGATTGACTGTCCATAATTGTTATATTAAAGACGCAAGCCAACCTTCAGCCCTGTGACAACAAATTCCAGGAACCCGTCGTACAGCTAATGGGCATTCTGCTCTACCGTTACTTATAATCAAGCCACTGCAAAGGTTACGGTAGGCTAATGTTTCCTCTATGAAATGAATTCGTATATAGAGCGTGGCGAACAAACCTTTGGACAATATGCGCGTTGGAAGTTGTGTGTGGGCCAGTTCAGGTCTCTTTACAGCAGAGAAATGAACCTGAAGTACATCACGGTCGGAAGACAAAGTTTGCGAGGAGGGAAGTATGAACGCTGTCATTGCCTGGATAAATAATCATTTAATTATTTGAGTCGTAAATAACTAAACAGACTGACTGCCTTACTCGGTAAATTACTAAACTCACTAACTTACAAACAGACTAATGTTCAACTAAAATAAATTAATTGAGTGGCTACGTAAATAAATAACCACGAAACAGATCTATGTAATAAACCATGTCATGTCATGAGTAATCAAGCTTATACAATCACTTATATACGAGTACAGTATTTGATTGATTTTTAATTTTCTAAAGTATTTTTATTCTTGATATAATCACCTAATCTTATGTATTGTTTTAAAAATAAATTAATTTCAATATTATGTATATATTTCAATTAACATGTAAATTCACTTGAACTTAACCTTCAATTATTTGGGAATGAACATAGAAAGATTCATGCCATGGACACAAAGCAAAGCGTTGTCGTGTAGAAGCGACGTTTAGTGAGTCACTGTTATTTTTCCTCTAACACGCCCTATTTTGGACATGTGCACCCTGAATACATCTCAGACCATGACCCCCCGAGAAGCAGAACCCGTCTCGAGAAACGCGGAGGTTCGCAGAGCAAAAGTATTCCTCGCCTTTTATAGAAACCAAAAGTTCGTTATAGTGTTCACAAGAAATCACTACTAGCATTCTCTAACCCAGTGGTATTCAACCTTTTTTGTTCGCGTACCCCCAGATATAATTTCTCTTCAACTTTATACCCCCAAAGTTGTTGGTGTATAATTCAAGTTATACATAGTATACAATCTACATCTAAAATAAATTAAATAAATTACATCACTGATTATTCAATGTTTATCATAAAATAATATATATTTTTTTTAAATTTCACGTACCCCCTAAGATATCTTCGCGTACCCCCGGGGGTACTCGTACCACTACTCTAACCTAAGCCAGATGAATCTACTCTACACCATCCTACCCTACCATTTCTTTAAGATCCATTAGACAACGAATAATGTCTAAAGTAATTTGTTTTTAAAAGGACCAACTATTGTCGCAGATATTTAGAGAATCATTGTGTCGTGTATCCGACTTATAAACGAATTGCGCTCAGCTTGCAGTGTCTCATTCTTCGCAGCACGGAGTGTACTGTTGAACAGCAGATGGGATCTCTGCTTTAGTGAATTCAGTTATTGAAAGGGAAGGAACAATCCTGCTGCTTCC